TTCATGAGTGAAAAGTTGCATTTATTTAATGGCCAAGGCTTATGTGTAAATGCCTTGCTTCACTTCTGTGCTAATCTGTTCTAATGATTTGTACCCTCCTTGATTTCACCTGCTAACATTAAATCCCACAGGAAGACATCATGGTTGTTAATTTGAAGTCCTACTCTTGAAAACTCCTTGGAGGACTATTTTTCTCCCCTTTTTATGAAAAAGTAGAGAAAAATTGATTACCACTTTCTCTACCCACAATTTCCAAAAGGCCTTTATTCAGGATAGTGTGGTTGTAATCAAAGCTGCACTGAAAATGGTGTCTCAAGAACAGAGGCTCATTATTTGTTCATGAAAATGAGACAGCATTTTCAGCACAAGTTTCTCGGCTGCCCTGAGAACTTTTCTGATTTCTGAAGAGGGTTCTTGCACTAGTGATATAATAAATCTTTACATAAAGAACATTTTCCTTCAGATTTTCAGTTTTAATCAAATTCAGTAGAATAAATCAACTCTGGTGTATCTAAATGTAATGAAAACTCTCTCTTTTTTAATTGTAGGCAACAGCCTTAACTAATTTTTAAGAAGAACCAATTTAGTAGTTCTAAATTTAGACAGTGGTGAAATCCTTTCACAGGAAAGCTGCATTATTAAGTAATTTTTAACAGAATAATAATCGGATTAATTTAATTAGCTGTTTTAAAACTATGCCAGTTGTACTTTATCTTTGGTCATGAATATTGTATTTTGTATTGTGTTTTTATTCTTATTTTTCCCATTATTTATTTATTTGTTTGTTTGTTTGTTTGTTTGTTTGTTTATTTATGCACACACCAGAATATTCCCATATTAATGGCTACTCGTGTCACTGAATCCATTCAATTACTGTAACTCAAGAAGCTGCAGCATGTTAAGGAAATAAGGAATTGTCAAACTCCAGCTTCTGACTCCCACATTGGCCATTCAATTGTTTAATGGCATACTGTTTCTATTCCCATACATTCTGGACATCTTGCAGTAAAATACCAAAGTAAAATTTATTTTAAAGAGGGGAGAGGGCAAAGGCTTCATTCTCAAATTTCTTCAGGAAAGTATTATCTGTCAGAAGCTAACTAAATAATGGGAGGGTGTATTAAACATAATATCATGGCCATTGGAAATGTGCATATCCCTTCCCCAATAAACCAGGTGTATTACAAGTGAGTCACATTTCAACAATTAAATCAATGGCCCTTTTCAATGCCTCTGGGTCCCTTTTCTTCCAATGTCCATCTTGTTCTATGTGACTGTCCTGTTATCTAGGGGGAAAAAAATCTGTCTCCTCATTTAATACTTTTTCAAGGATAATAAATGTTTGCATTTAACAATAATAAATAGTTCAGCAACCTGTCTGAAGTGGCATTTTTAATTTAACAGCAAGGCAGGAATTTTATCAAATATGAATTCCTATATAATAATGAATTCCCCTCCCAATGTAAGGAGGGATTCAATAAAGATGGTTGCTCCAAACATGTGATTGAAGCTCTGCCCCTTTTCTGTGGTATTTATAAAATTTGATTTATATGCCGCCCTTCTCCGGAGACTCAGGGCAGCTTACAATGCGTTAAGCAATATTTTGCATGCAATGCATGTAAAAAAAGAACAGAGCTGGGATATTAAGTCCACTGTCTTGGCTTTTTTCAGTGACCTGAAAAATCAATTCTGTACATGCTCATAAGGGTCCAAACTGAATTAAATTTCAAAATCTTAAGTATGAAATTTAGATTTTTGTCTCAACCCATCCTTTGCTTTTTCTCCCAGCTTGTATCACTGTCTGTCCTTCCTATGTTCTTCCAGTCATGTTCTATGATTCCATCAACAATTGTGCACCTATTGAAATAAATGGCAGCAGCATCCAACCAAACTAGATATCACACCTGACAGTTGACAAGGACAGTTGTGTGCAGGGCCGGATTTTCCTATAGGCTAACTAGGCTTCAGCCTAGGGCTTCAAGATCAAGAGGGGCCTACATTCAAATTGTTAGCAAAATTAAAATTACACTTTCACTATAGGTGAAAGGGCCTCATAAGTGGAATAGCCTAGGGCCTCTTTTCATCTAAATCCGGCCCTGGTTGTGTGGGTTTTTTTTAATCACACAACCACTTCCAGTGAGGCAGTAGGCAATGAAAGGGAAAGGAAGAAGTGAGGGAGAGGAAAACTAAGAAGGGTTAACAATGCACAATCATCTTCTGGATCATTCAGAGTTGCCAGAGTTGAAGAATGTGGCCTAACATAGAGGTACACGGCCCTTTTCAGATCTGGTTTATAAATGGCAAAATTAAATGAAAAACTAGTTAAATTAATGAAATTGCACTTCACCGTTTCTTCTTCTGTTACATTAAAAGTTGGGGAACAATTTTTGGAGGGCTTTGGGGACTACACCTGAGACTTAAAGGGGATGCATTCTAGACTGAAAGAGGTCAGAAGTATTTGCCTCATCTTTCCTTTCCATTCCCTGATTTTTTTCTTCTTTCCTGTTTAAAATCACCATACTTTCCTGGCATTTCTGCAGAGACGTTACTGTAGCCTTTGGCTTACATTAAGAACAGGTGCTGGCAAAATCACAGTGGCACTACCTGCAGCATTTTTAAAGCTTTCATTTAGGAAACAGAATATACAAATACATTGTTTGTGCTGGTGGGAGGGAATGGAAGACTTATAGCCTTGCTGCAGCAATTATTAGTTGGGTTTATTTTACCTTTGAAAAAAATGTAACCAAAGCAAGTTGAGTAATGGCTTGGAAATTACTCAGTTCCAAATGCTGTTGTACACTGGATACTGTTTGAATGGGATCACTTTTTGCTGCCTTAGAAGAAAGCTACCTTTTCAATTTTCCATGCTATATTCAAGGTCCATATTGAAAACAAATGTGAGCTTTCTTTAGAATAACAATCCAGTGTTATTCTTTCCACGAGTAATCCCCACCCTTTTTCTAAGCCTTTTATGCCCAAAGTTCTCTCTGTCTGGATTTATTAAGTGTGCATAAGGGTAGGCACTTTGCCCAAAAATGGGAAAATGAAAGGCTGAATCCAGTTCTGGTGTGCAAAATGTAAGTTTGATAATGAAGGCAAGAGTACAGGATGTGTGAATGGAGCTAGAAGCTTTTCAGATATAGAATGTTCTGCCTCCCCCTGCCTCCTTAAAACTTACAACCCATTTAGTGGGAAATGTGAAGCTTTTATAGACTCTATAAAATTCAAAGCAAAAAAAAATCCACTGTTCATTCAATCAACAAGGAATCATGCAAAACATTTTCTCTAAAGCCATTGAAAAAAGTATTTCTCAAAGCCTAAAAAGATTACCATTTACCAATGTGCTAACTTAATGAACTTGGGAGAAAGTTATCTGGGCTACTGCCATCACTGCTTTTAGTTGGCCATTTATTAATTTATTTCTGCATGGTGGTATTTACTGAATAGCAAAAAGGTTAAGGAAGAGAAAGGGGAGAGAGAATTGTTTAAACTGCAAAATCTAAAGCTAATGTAAACATTTGCAGAATAGAACCCAGTAGAAGCAACAGTACTGCAAAGATCTTGAAATGCATATAAGTGACACTATGAGATGTCTGGTGTTTCCTGGTGATGATTTTATTTCACAGCCAATCTGCTTTATTCACAGGGTTTTATAAGGGATCCATATGACAATGTCTTCCATTTGTATCACTCATTTCATCATTTTTCTTTCCAAGAATCTATCAAGGAAGGAGGGGGGGGGAGAAAATCTGCATAATATCTGACTGGAAGTTCTTGGACCCCTTCTACCAGAATCATCCTAAAATGTCTATGACAATAAAAGTGATTTTCAACTTGCATCAAAAAGACCCCAACATAGGCATAAAGATGAGACTTTCTGGAGAAGGAATATTTATAAAGTATATTCACCACTAATGCAGTGAAGGGAAAAGGTTACCGCATTCTGGGAACCAACATATTTCTACTTGGAGAGGCCACTGGCCAATGTCCCAGTTCAACATTACTTAGTTCCAAATAGGTAAACTCTAAAACACGGGTCTCCAAACTTGCCAACTTTAAGACTTGTGGACTTCAACTCCAGAAATCCCCAACCAGCATGGCTGGCTGAGGAATTCTGGGAGTTGAAATCCACAAGTTCTAAAACATGGAGAGCAACACAATAACAAAAAGAAGAAAACAATGAAAACAAACAGGTTACTTAAGGAACCGTCTCACCCCAATGGTATTGGGCCACCCAATTCGCTCTGGTAGAACCCCATCAGTAAAGGAATTCTGGCTGGCAGTATCAAGAAGAAAAGCTTTTCCTGCTCTGGCCACTACCCTTTGGAACCTCCTGTTGGCAGAGTGAGATCCACACCAGAGGTGGTATTCAGCAGGTTCTGACCAGTTCTGGAGAACCAGTAGTGGAAATTTTGAGTAGTTCAGAGAACCGGTAAATACCACCTCTGGCCCCGTCCCCATCTATTCTCTACCTCTTGAGTCCCAGCTGATCGGGAAAAAATGGGGATTTTGCAGTAACATTCCCCTAGAGTGGGGAGGGGAATGGAGATTTTACAGTATCCTTCCCCTGCCATGCTCACCAAGTCATGCCCACCAAGCTATGCCACGCCCACCAAGCCACAGAACTGGTAGTAAAAAATTTTGAATCCCACCACTGATCCACACCCATTGTCTTGGCCTTAAGGACCTGGCTCTGCTAATTGGCTTGGGGTCCAATGGGGCACTTTGCATTGGAGGTGGTGGGTGGAGTAAAAGAGAAGATCCTACCTCCATATCACTCATGTACATGGTTCATAGTTTTGTTAAACCTAGTTTTGAAACCTTGTTAAGTTTAATGTTTTAATATTTGTGTTTTTATTGTATTATAAGCCATCCAGAGTCTTTTTGGATAGTGAGATGGATGGCAAATAAATTTACTATATAAATGAAATAATTAGGACAATCTACTCATCTCATATAATAGCAAGCACAGTAAGAAGCAATCACAGTGACAGTCTTACCTAACTTCAAGACTTCATGCCTGAGGGAAATCCAAGTTTTTAAATGCCATCAGAGTTTGGATCAAGTAAATCTGAGGAGATATGGTGTTTTTAGGTAAGTACTACAATGTGGAAAGCATGCTTTGCATGTTTCTTTATCTGGCATGTCTAATAGATGGACCAGAAGCAGGCCTATTCTGCTCGATTAGAGAGATGGGCAGAAACAATTAGAGAAAGACTGTCCCTGAAGTAACCTGGCCCTGTTCAATGAAAGGCTGTATAGCTGATGAGCAGCACCCTGGAGCCTGTTGGGAGTGTGGGAAACTTGCAAAGCAATAGTACAATATTGGCAGACTGAGATGCATCAACTCTCAGGGTTCCAAGTAACACCCCCAGAGAAAATAAACTCCGAGGCTTGGATTTCCTCAAGCTACAATTTATTGGAGATGTCATATTGGCACATCTGGGAAAACCCGAATCTGAAAGTTTCCAGGTTTTCCCCACCCAATTGAAAGTTCAAGTCCCTGCCCAGCACCCTCATGTCCATCACATGGTCCAGTCAGCCACTGCTCAAACTGAAGACACTTCCCAATCATCCGACTCCAGGTGCCAGGGAAAAGTATCCTTGACTCTCTGAGAAAGGAATGTTATTTTGACTACATATTATCCACACTCTATGCAATGCCCCCTCCCATTTTCCCACAGAAGAAGATGTGGAAGGCCTGAAGACTCAAATGTAAAAGATGGCTTCCAGGTCTGACATAAACAACTACTCATGCTGCAGACTTGTAGACCTATCACAGCTTAGGTCTACCCACATACCATGCACAGCAGTAATCCTGATGAGAAAGACATGAATGGCTGTGATTAGTCCCTTACAATCCAGGAAAGGGCATAATTTTTAAATAAGATTAATCTGTGGAAAGGTCCTCCTGGCCATAATTGTCACCTGTTCCTTGAACAGAAAACAAGTCAGGAGCAGTTCCAAACTGCATACTGGTTTTGTTTAGGGCATGCAACTTCCGTAAGAACTGAAATAGGAAATCCACAGATCTAGGGGAATCTTAAAATACATTTTACCTTTTTAGTCCATTTTTCTATGCTATCAAAATTACTTGAAACTTTGTTTTTGAGCTATTATAATGTTAGCTTTCATCTAATTTTGCATGCCAAATGTAATTATTACATTTTTATTTTTTTTTAATCTGTATCATAAATGGAAATAGTGAAAGAACTAGTTCTAGGACTAAACCATGCATCCACCCCACTTGATACTACACTCGACTTTGATGAAAAATTCATAAAGAACATTATTTAATTTAGTTTTGATCTACCTCATAGATGTAAAATTTGATCCACATTTATCTAGTTTGTAAATCAAAAATCATGGAATACTTTTTAAAAGCTTTACTGAAATTAAGATATATTTCTACTAGACTCACATCCCATAAATGTTAACTGATTCCCAAAATAATTTAAGATTAATTTAAAGGACTTGTTTACAAATCCATGCAACCTTCTATTGAACTGTAGAACAATTCTTCCTGTTCCTGCTAGATCAGACCAAAGGTCTATCTAATTCACGATCCCATTTCCCATACTGGTTGGCCAGATCAGTCAAGAAAACCAGTCAAAAAAAGTCTGAAATGCAATAGCTCACTTTCTACAAAATGCATTTAAAGATATGCTGCCTCTGAGGACTGGGTATTTATTTCTTTGAAATACTTCTCTCTCTTAAATGCAGGTCTGGCAGGCAATGCAGTTCTCAAAAAATTACTTATACTTGTAATGAATACATTTCATCTGGCATTAATCATCCTTGGCTAACTATTTAGTCCCACGCAAGTTTACTTAAAAGTAAGTACCTTTATTTTATACAGAACTAATTCCAGATAAGCATACATAGGAATGTGGGCTAAGTCTGACTGTAACACAAGTATATTCAGTAAGACACACATTCTGTTATGGAAGTCTTGATTATAATGATCAATAACTCACAAATATCTCCACTTTGAATTTGTCTTGGTTTCTAAGCTAGTAAGAATCCCAATTCATGTGGAAGAACTTTAGGGATAATGCTTACATACTGTGAAAAGAAACACTGTATTTCTCTGGTCTTAATTAACTTCCAGGGTTAAGTGTACCGTACCTGCCTGAAAAGATCCACATGCCAAAAAGATAGCAATAAAATCTAGAATTTTAGGCATATCTGCTGCCATGTTTGCTAATCATCCAGAAGTTTGCATAGATCTGGGAGCCATAACCAATCAGTTTCTCTGTATGAAAAAAAAAAAACATATATCCCTGTTGTTATAAAAGGAAAAAGAAAATGCATCTTTATCTAGTATGTCAGTTACATGCATAACAACAATTTTCTCATCACTCTATCCATGCCTTTTGAAGGTATGTCAACTTGGATTGTACACAGTGTTATGAAACAGTCCATGGTACATTAGAAATGTTAAATGTTAAAAACAGCTTTCTATATGTGTCATGCTTACACTATTGTGCATGATTTACACTATTTTATTTTATTTTTTTTGCCTTTGGGTTATTTTGAGTGATTTATAGCTTTATACCAATCTATTTCATTAATCCAAAGAACTAAAACACTTATTCTTTTCTTGAGAGGATAAAAGTTGGAATACATTATAAATGCTAACATTTAGCTAGGGATTCATTCTATGTTTTTATTATCTTTTCTGTCCATATATTGTATAATCAATGAAACTCATGAATGATATTCAATTTTAAAATACTGGGATCAGAAAATAGCTATTGAAACTATTTTGTATGTCAGAGGCCAGGAGCAGCATAGCAGACTAAAAATGACTCTGGTTTTAGTAAAACTGATGTATGTGGCTGAAATAAGAGATGGTGAAATCATTGGGTACTTGAAATTGTTCTCCAGACTATGGAGAACAAAAGGTTTGCCCATGCTTGGCTTCATAGAGATTCTCTCTGCAAATAAATTGGAAAACAACCATTTCCAGAAGATTTAAGGGATCTGAAGGCTAAGGGAGTATTTATCTTGCCAAAGCCATGCTTGGTGCTTCATTGTTAATAAGTTGCTCCTTTTATTACTAATTTCATTGGGAGGTTAAGAATGTTCCCAATGACAAGTTGTATTATACCAGGAGATTTTCCTCCTATCATGGATGAAAGAAGATTTGATTAAGTTTTAAGATTAATAAAATAAGCTTTAATTTTTGATAAACAGCAAAAGTGGAACTAGAATGTTGATTTTGGAAAGTTAAGGAGCTAGATGGATTTGAAGAAATATTTTCTGTGTGGTGTATAAAAATTAATAAAATAGTATGTGTGTATGTATGTATGTGGGGGATGTGATAGCTCAGTGGTTAAGATGCTGAGCTTGTTGATCAGAAAGGTCAACAGTTCAGCAGTTTGAGTTCCTAGTGCCGCATAATGGAGTGAGCTCCCATTACTTGCCCCAGCTTCTGGCAACCTAGCAGTTTGAAAGTATGTAAAAATGCAAGTAGAAAAATAGGGACCACCTTGGTGGGAAGGTAACAGCGTTCTGTGCGCCTTTGGCATTTAGTCATGCTGGCCACATGACCACAGAATCATCATCAGATAGCACTGGCTCTTCAGCTTAGAAACAGAGATGAGTACCACCCCCTAGAGTCAGGAACGATTCTCTGTGTGAGGGAAACCTTTACCTTTTACCTATGTATGTATGTGTGTATGTATGTATTTAAATTAGTGGTAAGAAATTATCCCATGGGAAAATTTAGCTTCCTGGAAAATAAATAAATGAGGACTTGCAGGGTTATTAGAGGGAACCAGAGAGAACAAACAATTACACTGAAAGGAGAAGAGACAGATCAATACCATTTGAATCTCTTCAATGCTATTTGAATCTAGAAGAAATTAAGGCTGTGTGGGAACAATTTAGTCAGGCATTACAAGTTTATGTGACACTATAGCAGAGAATACAGAAAAACAATACATTTTATTGGATTTAAAAAAAATGAGACTGATGTGGATTTGGAGTTTTAAAAAAATGCTTCGTTATAAAAATGATGAGATAATATGACAAAGTGTTTAAAAATTCCAGCATATAAGAGCAATATTACACTACTTGATGAAACTAAATATCAAGCTTTTGAAAAATGAAAAGAAAATTTATAAAGTGAATCTGTTTGAAATGTATGTTATGGATTCTGGTTAATAGGATTTCTTTTTGACCAAGATTATATGATGAGGCTTTAAAGATTTGTTTACAATTCAAGAGAGATTTGTTGTGCTTTATTGCTTAGAGAAAATACTAAATTTGGATTATGAAATTTATATATGTGTGTGTGTGTTTGTGTGTGTGAGAGAGATAATCCAAATTTAGTTTTTCCTCTAAGCAATAAAGCACAACAAAATTCTGTAATCCAAATCCAAATAGCTAATATTTCTGGCAGCTCTTAATAGACTGTGTGATTTGACTAGTGATAAGGAATGAGATATGGGAAGAAGAGATTTTTAAAAATTAATGTACTAGAGAAGGTGTCAAATTAGTCAAATTATTTATACTTGTTTAGGGGGAGGAGTGTCAACCTATATATATATTCCCTCTCTTTTCTGTTTTCCTTTTCCTTTTTATTTTTTCTTCACTTTTCTTCTTTGCTTTACTGTTTATATTTTTCTTTGTTGTATTAGTTTTCTCAATCTTTGAATTTGTAAGCCTCAATAAAAATTATGGGGAAAAGGAACTATTTTGTATCCCATTGTTTCTTGTGAACTTTAATAAAGTATCCACTTTTGAGCTATTTGTTTTAAAACAATCTTAAACTGAGTGAATTTTTTTTTACTGTTAGGTTTTTCTTTGAAAAAAATTCTTGGCATAAACTCACATCTCTCCAGATATATCCATATTTTTATTCAGCGAGATACTCTGAAAATACTACTTAATCAATGCTCCCTGTCACTATGTGAGAACCATCTGTCTTAGAGCTTTTATGGTAGAAAACAATACATGCTTAGTTATCATGTATACAAAGTAGTCTCTGAAGTCTTCCTGTATAGTCAGGACATTACTGTTGTAATTACAATGGTTATCAGGTTAGCAAATCCATATAGTCAACTCTTCATATTTTTAAAGGACCTTCATTTAAATTGATGATGGGTATCATGGAAGCTGAATGCAGCTTCTGGACCACTTTTTTTTTTTTTTTGGTAGCCACAGAATGCACAAAAATTATACTGTTCATTAAGGACAAAACACTTAAAAATTAAAGATAGTTTTAAATAATTTCATACTGTGCTTCCATGGAACCATGGTGATTTGATGGCAGTCTCTTGCATGCTGTGACCTTCAGCTCTCTATCCACCCACACATTTCAGCATGATACTGAGAAATTGAAGGACAAAACCTCTAGAATTTCAGAAAAAAGCTGTACAGTTGAACAGATTTTGACTGAGAGGCAAACTAAATGATACATAAATCATAAATTATTTTGCTTCACTTAAGAATTTATTTAGTTAATTATATAGTGACCTCAATCCAGGATTAGACAGCCTATGTTCCAGGAGTCTAGTTCTTGCCTTAATTCCTTTGAAAGTATTTAAAAACAAGCAAGCAAACAAAAACTATACAGCCATAAAAAAGCATATTTGCAGGAAGGTTTGTTCCCAAAAGAAATAGTAATAGTAGTACCTTAGTACTACTAAGATAGTAACAATATTAATAGGGCTGGAAAAAAAGCAAAGCTTTTTATTTTTCTATCCCATGTCTGGTACCTTAAGTGGGTTCTCAAACCTTGGAACAAAATAGTTCACAATTTACTATTGTCTATTTTGCCTGTCATGCACACTCATTACAGACCAATTGAACTAAAACAGCTTTATGTAATCATATTAGGTTAATTTCCATTGATTTCAAAGTGTTTACTCTACTGACTGGATTTAACCATCACTTTATGTGCATTTGCTTTGTATGGAACAACAATCTGGTTTGAATTAATTCTCAAAATAGGACCATGAGAAATGATGCAAACGGGTGAGAATTGGGTGGTTTTAAGTCTTGATTTAATTTCTCAAGTTAAAATGATTGAAAATGTCTAGTAATACAAGGATTTTCTTTCTCCCTTTCTCTCTTTTTAACAGTAGTTTGAGTGTGTGAGTTCATGTAAATGAAAATGTACATGAAAGCCTCTAAAATGTAATCATCCAGGCACTGTTTATTTTGCTTTTAGAACTCAAGCTTTTGGTTACACTTCCTGTCACAATGCAGAAACTTCAAACCATATTTCTAAATATTACAAGCTGACTTAGAAAAAAAAAAGTAGGATAGCACACAATTGCTCAAGGCCAGTCATTAAAGGAAAAAAAAACACAATGCAAATGATAACTTTTTATTTGTCCCTTCATTTAAAAATGGACCCATTGATTGTGAAGGGAACAAAATTTATGTAAATGAACAAAGGGCCATTCCACAAAGCTTTAACATTGCAGGAGGAACTGACCTCTTATTAAATTGCTGAGCACATTGTAAGCCGCCCTAAGTCTCCGGAGAAGGGCGGCATATAAATCAAATTTAAAAAAAAATGTCCTAACTATGCTAGAAGGCACTTACAAATAATGATTTTAAGCTGCACTAATTATCTTATTTTTCCTGAAGGAGAAATGTCACAGAGAAAAATAATAAGAGGGTTTGCACATTGATTCAAGTATATCTTGAACTTCCTTATTCCTTTAACATTATCCAGATTTTCCCTCAAACAATAGCAATTGTATTTTTAATAGAAGCTAAAGTTCACATTTCTTACCTTATTCTAAGATAAACTTTTTGCTGTACCATTTGGCAGCAGATGTACAGCTGTTCTGAAACACCTTAGCTATTATTTATGTTGGATTTGAATCATAAGGACATACGGTTGTTTTGTTAGATTAATATCTCTCCTCAGGTAGCATTTTCTTCTTTTTAATATCCAGATTACACTGTTATAATATAATATACTTTATAAAAAATAGTACAATGAAGTGCAAACATTATTTCAAAAGTGCTTACTATGAGTTGGATGCATGTACTGGCTTCCAAATAATTTTGGTCCCAAACTAATAGTTGATACTTATTTTGAAATCTAGGATTCAGGAAATGTGTTAGATCAATGGATGACCAGGGTTTAATGTGGAGGAACAAATGAAGGAATGCATACAATCTTCACCCCTTTTTATTCTTGTGTCATGATGATGCATGCAAGTAAAGAATGGAGCATGCATTGTGATGTCACAATGAACCTTTCACTATTCTGATAACATTCAACATGCAGAAGTATTCCTGACTTGATTGGATTTTTTCCTTTAAATAGAATAGAATATAATTCTTTATTGGCCGGGTGTGATTGGACACACAAGGAATTTGTCTTGGTTCATACGCTCTCAGTGTACATAAAAGAAAAGATACGTTCGTCAAGAATCATAAGGTACAACACTTAATGATAGTCATAGGGAACAGTCAATATAAATCTTAAGGATACCAGCACAAGGTTACAGTCATACAGTCATAAGTGGGAGGAGATGGGTGATAGGAAAGATGAGAAGATTAATAGTAATGTAGACTTAGTAACCAGTTTGATAGTGTTAAGGGAATTATTTGTTTAGCAGAGTGATGGCGTTCGGGAAATAACTGTTCTTGTGTCTAGTTGTTCTGGTGTGCAGTGCTCTATAGCATCGTTTTGAGGGTAGTAGTTGAAACAGTTTATGTCCAGGATGTGAGGGGTCTGTAAATATTTTCACAGCCCTCTTTTGGACTTGTGCAGTATACAGGTCTTCAGTATGTGTAAATGAAAATATTTGATTCTTAAATTCATTCTAATGATGTTTATGACATACATAAACAATGCTAACAATTTTCCTGCTATTTTTCAGCAACCCTCACTGTAACAAATATAAAACATGATTACTATGGAACACATTTTGCTATTTATAATGCACAGATTAGAAAATATTCACAAGAGCAAGTCTTGCCCAGCAGCTGCATTAATGTAATTTGTAATGCTAGGCAAAGGTCTTTGTATTAACTCAGACATTCTAATGCCATGACCAAAAACTAAAGATAATAACTTACAAGTAGCAGGAGATCCAGAATCCAGAACCATTCAATCTTGCTATGGTTGACCTGGGTCTATTAAATAAGTGTCCTTCAATAGAAAAATATGGAATGATCACAATATTGGACTTCTTAGATTATAACTAACTGACAGAATGAAATTTAATCTTTAAAGAATGAAAACCAATAACTGGTAAGAGGTGATTTGAACAGTTCTGTTCCTGGTAAAAAGATACTAGTAGGTAGAATATTTGGAGAGATTTTAAAAGGTAAAGGTAAAGGTTCCCCTCGCACATATATCCTAGTCATTCTCGACACTAGGGGGCGGTGCTCATCCCCATTTCAAAGCCAAAGAACCAGCGCTTTCCAAAGACGTCTCCATGGTCATATGGTCGGCATGACTAAATGCCAAAGGTGCATGGAACGCTGTTACCTTCCCACCAAAGGTGGTCTCTATTTTTCTACTTGCATTTTTACGTACTTTCAAACTACTAGGTTGGCAGAAGCTGGGACAAGTAACGGGAGCTTAACCCATTACGCGGCACTAGAGATTCGAACCGCTGTAGGTGGAAGCTAAAAAGATTGCCATGTTCTAGTTTGATGATAATGATGCTTTGTCACACAGTTAAACAAATGTTTAGACTGAGTTTGGCATTTTTATTCATCTATTGAGTCCTTTCCCAAGGACCTGGGATAGGTAGATGATGTTGTATGATGATGTTAATTGTATAATTGCAGAATGTAAGCTATTCCAAGTAATTATTGTCTGTTCACCACAATGTGAAGTCACAGCTGCCAATTATTTAGCTGATGTTTTCCTTCATGTGCATTGAGCTCTTTCTAAGAATCTAAGAATTTGTGATATATCAGCATACTGTATGTGCTGGACCAAGCAGTGTGGCCATTTGCAAGTAATGAAGGGAAATTTTGTTATGTGCACATACTGTCTAAGTGCTGTCCAAAATTTTTGGCATGGCATCCAGTGTGCTAATAATCACTGGGACCATCACAGACAGTTTATGCCAGAATCTTTCCATTTCAATTTTCAGATTTTGATACTTTAGGATTGACTCTAATTCTTTGTCTTCTATTCTATTGTCCCATGATATTGTCTCATCAATTATCCACACTTCTATAAATCCAATTTATATGCTGCCCATCTTCCCCCAAAGGAGACTCTGGGTCGCACACAATAAATGACATTTATGCTGTGAATCTTGAAGGCTTATTCTGGCATCGGGGAACATACTTTCTACACTGAGCTTCATATTTCACCTTCTTTCAAATTCTCCTAAAATACCCAGGTGATTACAATGAAAAGTCAAATGCTGGACTAAGATGGCCCTTGCTTGACCTAAAAGACTACTCTTTTCACCCATAAGAAGGTAAAAGATAAAAAGATAGAAGCAGAAATCATTATGGAACACAGCTTATCTATATTGGTTTTAAAAAGGGAATTAGAGGGATAATTGTATTGTTTCATTTCTAGAATTCCAAAAAAGCATTTGAATGCTAAAACTATACTTTCCTTCTTAGTTCTGGATATAGAAAAATTAAAGGGAAAACTAGTTTAACTAGTTCAATAGTAATAAACCAGTGTTATTACAGCCATCTCCCAGGGGATAACAGTGGGTCATAAACCATCATAAAAATGCAAGCAGAGTTTTCTAGTTTTCTGAAATTATTCAGTGATTTATTCAATCTCTTCTACAGTGTGAGCGATTGTAGTGATAACTTGAAAATAGAAGGAAGATGGATGTGTTTGCATTTCTTGTGTTTGCCTCTTTGTATATTCATCTGTTTGTATTACTGGATTTTGTTCTTTTGTTTTTGTAGCCACCAGTCTGGTGACAATAAAATATTTTTCTAGGTTTGTTTCCCTGGTCCTTTCCTAACAGTATCATTGTCAATTGGAAAGATTTAAAAAAGCCTTCCTTAATTCATTTTCTTTTTAAATAAAAGAGCTGGAATTTCTAATGAATGTAACTCTAAGGTGAATAGCACAAAGTAGTTTAAGAAAGATTTAAGGTTCTATTTCTAAATAATTTCTCATCAATGTAAAAAATCAGTCAAGAAACAAAATCAGTCAGATTATAAATATAACTAAGCTATAACTAAGCTAGGCTTAACTATAGCTAAGCTATCTTGTTAGAATATGTTCTTAGCCATTGTATTCACAATAACTATATGATAATGACTTGGACATTCTGAGATATAGTGTTATTACTCATAAAGAAATTGTATTGGGTTCAATGAGATTTACTCCAGGGATTACAACTTTCTGTTAACTCCTTGGAACTTTCCATAAATTCAAATAATAATATAAATTTAAAAATTGGGGAGAATACTTTTGGTAATATTTTTACAAAGTAGTACTAAATAATTAGCCAATTCTGTAATTGTACTACATTCATCATTATAATAAATCACTTGACGTATGGATAGTGCTGAGATACGATCAATAGTTTATTTCAGATCATATGTTTACTTTAGAAAATGCCTCTTTCCACTTGAAATTGATGGCAACTTTTGGTTATCATGAGAGATTATTTAATCTAGAATTTACTGATAATGCTAAAAGATCTTTATTACATATACAGTATAAAAGCAATTAAAAAAACAAATTAGGTATAGAAGGTGATAACTATTTGAACTTAAATAAAACCTATTTCCTGATTTCTGGTTTAGACATTCAAAATTTAAATGCTGAGTATTTTCATCATAGGGAGAGACTTTTGAAATGCCAGGGAAGTCTTCTCTGTAAAACAGACAAGGATCAGTCAGTACAGCAAGAAAATAGTCACCAGCTGAGTAAAGACTTCAGATAACACCATGATGGATGGCCAGATGGTTTCAATCATATGAAAAAAGAAAAAAAAAAGAATAAACTATCCTTAAACAGTAAGGCACAGTTCTTGGGATGTAATACAATGATGTAGTCAAAAATATATCTATGAGGTGAGGCAAGAAATCTCAGATTTAGGTATAATTTTGCTGACTTTCTCAATGCTTTTTTTGCTACATTCTTGACAGAGAAATGAAAGCAACAAACATTATATATACAAGAGTTGCAGCCTGCAATACAGCTCAGGGATGAACAATTAGTAGCTGATTTTGTAGCCTCTGTAACCACTTCTGATCAGAAGTAGCTGGCCGAGTTCTACCACCATAGTTCTGAAGTAAGAGCTATTTTGCAAATGAATAACAGCAGTGGTTATTTTCAAAACAAACATCAGATGCAATTAGCCACTCTTTTATTAAAGAGATAAGCATCCTTTCCTTTACACTGAAAAAATATAAGAAAAAAGAACCAGAACCTTCCCTCCCTAATTTGCTATTTATAGGTTTTTCCCCAGTTTAGACAAGTCTAAAAACAAAACAACAAGCAAACAAACAACCCCAAACCCATAGTGGGTTTCAATTTTGGTTGCTACTGGTTCACTTGCAGGCACTTCTGCACATGCACAGAGATGTCTGGGTGGGTGGGAGGAGCTTCCCTCCGCCGCCAGTACCAGTTTCCCCAATCCGGGGCAAACCGGTAGCAACCCACCACTGCCCCAAACCCCAATAAAAGCAGTTCAAAAATCAGACAACTGTCAGCCTTGTGAGGTGGTACCAAAAATAAAGTGCACCCAGAAATACAACAATAACCTTGTTATAAGGTTACAATAATATAACCGTGCACGTTTGAAAGCACATTTCTCCTTTTGCACCTTTATAAACCAAGGGCTCCTTCTAATGTGATTGCCAAGCCCACATTCCATTGGGAGACCTGGAAGACCAGGTTAGAGACAAATAATTATTGAGAAAATCTATGTGGTCATGAAGAGTTTATCACAACCTGATAGTATGTAATCAATCCATCAATTTCTATAATTAACTGTGGCTTTGTTTTAACTTTTAAAAGTTGCATTCGGACTTCTGTTCTTAGCATGTCAGACTCAGAAGTGTGACTCCCTAACTTGCCAAATATTGTAGACCTTCTTCTAAGGAATAAAAGCAACATTTAAGACCTGCAGTACACTACTGGACTGTCGAGGGTGCCATAAAGAGGTCATTTTTCCAAAGTGTCAAAATAATGTTTACATAACAGTGCTGCAGATTGCACATTACAGTATCCTATACAGTTTTCATTTTGTTCTGTTTGCTGTTTCAAAGATCTCCAAGAAGCAGTGCCATTTATATAAAGTATTTATGGAGATGCTGAAAATAACACAAATGTAGGCAGATACAGTTTGATTTCAAAATTCTTTATGTTTGTTTATAAAATATACCTTCTTGATAGCATAGCATTGGAAGTTAGAAGAGTGTCTTTTTCACTCTTGGCTAACTTCTTAAATACCTGCGTAAATGTGTTCTTGTTTCCCTTTTTTTTTTCTTTTTTGACTGAAATAGTAAGCCAGTAAATTTTCTCTGAACTTTTTATTTTACAAACATAATGTATATTTAATGTAATCTATCATCCTCATATCTGGCTTTCATCTTATTCTTCTATAAACTTTGTCATTCTCCACCAAGAATAACACTGTTTGGGCCACTAATTGGAATTCTATAAATACGCATACCCAGCAGATTATTGTCAAATCCATTTCCTTAATGCCTACCAATCTGAAAAGTAAAAGGCTTTTGAAATATTGTGTTTCAATTCATGATATACAAGCAGTAAAAAATATTCCTCAGGACATATTTTTTCCTGTAATGTGTAATTGCAAAGCTTTCAGCAGGTGGAATTGTTTATGGTTGCTATTTCATCTAGATCAACATAAGCAGAATAGCAAAATAATTGGGAATTGGTTAGTCAGGCCTTACTGCTTTAAACTGCAGATAGGGAGTCTGTCTGTCTGTCTGTCTGTCAGTCCGTCATCCATCTACAGTGTAGTGCAATAGTAGTCTTGGACTACAAGAGGGGAAATTGAGGTTCTATTGCTCCTTTAAACAAAGGAGCCACTTTGAGTCAGTAGCTCTCTTTCAGTCCTGACCCAGGGACTCAAAACACATCTACCTATCAATTCACACTTAACTAGAGTGTTAGATTATAACCATTTTCTTTGATGAAGGCCTTCATCCTATGGTGGATTCATTCAGTCTAATGTGTTTACAATTTGGAGAAGATAACATGGAGTTGCTACGAATCAGGTTTATAGAAATTCATAGCACATTGTCCCATTTGTGGCAGCAAAGGAAACAGACACATGTCAAACTTCAATGAGGGAAAGTGTATGGAAGATAAGGATGGAGGCATCATAACTAACAGCATTACTGCAGATGCTACAGTGAAGAAGTGGAAGATGGTATTAGTAACATTAAAAACTTCATCATTCTTTATAGATGATAGAATTGATAATATACATAGAAGATTGTTAAGAAGTATGCTTTATTTTTTTACAGTACTAGAGAGAATGCTGGTGGCCATAGCAGAACGAATTGTATTCATTCTGTATTGCTAAGAGAGCTTCAATCTTCGATCCAGAAACATTTGCTGAACAGTAAACTATAAACCAGATTTCTGATAACAAGAGGGTGAGAGGGAGGAGATGTTTAAGGTGAAATTCATCAGCATCTCTAGAGAGAATCTCTTTGAGAAAAGAAGCCTGAATGGTGTCACTAGCAATATGCTCATCTTGGAGGTTATCAGTTCCAGCTGTTAAAACACAGTAAGTGTCCCGAGGTAGCACTAGATATAATCCTCTCAGACACCACACAGCCTTTTGTAATAGCTGATAAATTATAACACTTATCATTTTTAACAAGGAAATAGCTTGTGCTGATGCTCCCACAGGGAAAACAACTTTATAAGCAAAGCAATTTGAAGATGATTCCTTCTGCTCTTTTCCTGTACAGAATAATTCATCCAGAACCAAAGTAATAATTTTGGCATCTTCAATGGAGGCAAAAATGCCTATATTGCAAAATGTATTATCATTTTAAAAGCATGAATATTTCTTATTTTTGTCATCAGCTCGAAACTCCTTCATTTTATCCAAAAGATAGAAAGGGAAAAAACCCTCCTCCTTTAACTTGGGATGAGGAAGCTCAGTACATTCTCAAGGAATATTTCAGCCTGACCTTGTGACACGCTCACCTTCTTCAGACTCAAAAGGTGAGTCCCAAATAATATCCTAACTTCTTACACAACACAGAAGTAATTGGCAAAAATATCTAGTCAATGGTCCTATGAGGACCATTCTATAAGAAAACAAGTTCAAAACCAGGATATGGTTTCACAGACTGTATAAGACTTTTGAGTTTTGCTGCATTAGACTGATGTCTACCTAATATATTATGCAAGTTCCCACAGTGACCAATATGATACTTCAGAACTGCCAATATATTATTATTATTATTATTATTCAAGTTATACTTTCCTTTTCTAGTGAAAAGGTGATAATGGTGATAACACGAAGGACTACATAGCTATAAATTATATAACAGAATACAATTGAAAAGTATTCTGATGGTTGACTAGGGAAGTAGCTGTCCAAAAGAAGAATTTCTTGTCATAGAACCACACTCAACCCCTTTGTGACTATATCCAACTTGGACCATTTTTCATAATACCTTATAAAAAGAAGTTTATTTGTTAGAGGCTTGAATGGAGTATAAGACCCAAATTTGGACAAACCACTTCAAGAAAAAAAGGAGAAAAGCTCTCCCAGAAAAAATAATATTTCAATATATAGAGACATTGACTTTGGCAGGTACTTAGAGACTACAAAATTCAAAAAGAAGAAGACTATTCATTTTACTCAGCCAGACACCAAGGATATTCCATTATTGATATATGTTAGGTTTCCAAAGCTTTTACAGCATGTACAAAGAAATAGGGATTCTCCCAATGATATATGCTGATCACAATCCAATTTTAATAACATAGTTTCAAGGACTGAAATCATTCTTTAAATGGAGGACAAATGACAGATTGAAATTCCAAGAAGTTATAATATACTATAGAAAATAAAGAAGAACTATCTATCTATTTGTGTTTTTTCTGTTTGTATGGGTATGTCAGAAACAACCATATGGGAGATAGATAAAATTTATATGAGAGAAATTCCTATGACATTTGCAACAATTCAGAAGAAACAGTAAACAGATATAAATCAAAATTGGAAGAAAAAAAAACAAAGAATTAATAAAACTATTCTAGAGTGACAAATACTCAGATAATTCAATGAAATAAAAAAACAATTCTAAGAAACAAAAGAAGATAAAATCAATCAATCAAATAATTGAAAATAAATCAGGAAAAAAAATTGGCATATCAAACTGCAAAGTTAAGGACAGTAACAGCAATATAGAAAGGGAACAAATTGTTATGTCTAAAGCCTGAAATCACAGAATAACTTTTCAGATGTTTATATTTCTAGCACAGTATTCATAAGATTTGAACAGATATATTGGTGGCTCAGTGTTATTTTTTTTTTTACCAAGCAACATAGACATATACTAAACAAACCTGTAACTAGAAATTAAGGAATCAATTGAGAAAAAAAACCCTTAAAACTGACATAGTTCCAGGCTCAGATGGTCTTACAGCCCAATAGTACAAAAAATTAAAAGAAGAAATGTTGGGACAATTGGTAAAGACAATAAATGAAATTAAGCAGACAAAAATTGCCAAAGACATAGAAAAAAACATATATAACTTTTATCTCTAAAGAAAGGAATAATCTGAAGAAACCTTAGCCATATAGATCAGTTTCTTTACTGAATGTCAGTTATAAACTATTCACTATAATAATAGCTGAACATTTGAGAAAGTATATTTCTAACACAATATATACAAGCCAGTGGTGGATACCTCCCGGTTCCACCAGGTTCTGCCGAGCCGGCAGTGGTGACGATATGACGTCACCAAACTGGTTCTCTTTGTTCGGGAGCTGGGCCCTTCCCACCCCAATCGTGTTATTCTTACCTTTTATTTGGCCCCGCCCCCAATCTATTCGCTGCCTCCCGAGTCCCACCTGATGGCTAGAAGTAAAAAAACTGTTTAAACTCTTGCCATGGGGCTTCAAAGGGCCGCCCTATGGCTGATCAGTGTTAAAAGGCAGTGTGGTGGTAGACCGGTGCCTTCAAAAACAAATGGGTAAACCGGGACGCTCGAAAAACAAATGGGTAGACCGGGACGCTCCAAGAACAAATGGGTAGACTGGGACACTTGAAAAACAAATGGGTAGACCAGGACGGTCCAAGAACAAATGGGTAGACCAGGATGCTCCAAGAACAAATGGGTAGACTGGTACAGCTCTCAAGCAGTTAAAAGCCGGGTAGACCAGGACCTCTGCTAAATCCTAAAGAATTGTCACATGACCATCAAGCCATGCCCACAAAATAAGCCACGCCCACAGAACTGGTAATAAAAAATTTTAGAACCCACCCCGATACAAACAGGTTATGTTCCCTAGAGGAAAATGAAGGACAATTTATAATGCATACACTATATGTGCAACAGTATATCAGCAACAACCAAAAAGAAGGTTCCACTAATATTTTGAGAGGCAGAAAAAGCCTTTGACAACTTGAAGTGGCCTTTCTTACTAGCAATTTAAACAATATAAATCCAAAAGAATTTAAAACTTAGGTGGAAAGCATATATTGTCTGAACAGCATATAGCAAAGATCATGACAAATGTAAGACTCTTTGCAAGTTTTCTAATATGCGAAGGCAATAAGTTAGAATGCTCACTTTCCCCTTTATCATTTGTAATTGTTTTAAAAGTCTTGGTAAACAAGATTTGGAGAGACAAACACATATTTGGGATTAAAAAGAGTATAATGCTGCACAAATAATATATTAATGACCATTATTATATGCAACAACACAATGTTATAACAGTAGATGAAGTCAGTGAAAGACTTTGGTGAATCTTATGGACATAAGTCACTGAAAAGAAAACTAAGATATTAACAAGATATTTAGCCCAAGAACATGACTTTGTGAAAAAAGAAAAAGAATGTGGATATGAGATAACAAGAAAAAAAAAAACCAGTGAAATATTTGGGACTTTATTTGGCAGCATGTAATAATGATACTGTTCAAAACAATTATAATAAATTATTTTATTTTATTTTATTTTATTTTATTTTATTTTATTTTATTTTATTTTATTTTATTTTATTTTATTTTATTTTATTTTATTTTTATTTTATTTTATTTTAATCTCAGGCAAAATTTAGAAAGATTTCCAAAGAACAGTAAGCTTTGCAATACAGAGTAGAGAAAAAAAAGAGAATAAGATTTAAAACTTTACAAAAGAAAGAGGTGGCTTTCATTTCTTACCTTTAAAAAATAGATAAAATCTCAAAACGGAATTAGAATCTAGTTGAGCCAATGGTCTCCAGGGGCATTTATGATATAAGGAAACAAAAGGGGGCAGGTGGGAAGAATTTGAAAGGACATTTATAAGACAAAGCTTAATAAAAAATATGGAATATTATGAAAAAACAAGAATAAGATTTCACCATTAGTTTTACCTTCAATTTTTTTTTCACTTCAGGGATAATTTTAGTAAGAAACATTTGGTCACACATGCCAATCTGGTACATCCAGACTCAGGAAACAAAAAGAACTGCTGAATGATGAAAGGAATTTACCATGGTTTATGTATTTCTGAAAGAATGAAAATAATTCAAGAAAAAAGGAAGGACTTTGAGAAAGATGACAGAGTTCAAAACATTGTTTTCATGCAGAAAAATCTTTAGATTATTACTGAATTAGAAAAAACAACAACTAACGATCAGAATTGGTCCATAACTGTTTCATCCATCCATTCCAAAGCAATAAATATTTTACTCATTCTAACTGTCCATCTTGTCAAAGTTACAGGTATAACAAATTCACTTGGCCACTTGGTGACACTGTTTTTGCATTTTGTTCTCACTTTGTAAGAAGCAAATAAATTATGGAGTTGTTGTTAAAAGCAGCAGACAGTTTGAGTCAGAAATCTAACCCATAAAAATAAACACAATCTGCCTATTGTCTACCCTTTATTTTCTCATTTCATATAAGCATTAGGAGATGCTAAATGGTTTAGAATGCACCCCAGGAAGCTTTTTACCATTTATGATTATATTTCCAAATTTTTTTAGGGAAGAGTTTCCATTCTGAACCAAACAACCCACTCAAGCATTTCCTTGGCAAAGCACCGGTTCTAATTTATTTTAACCAGCTCAGTATTCTGCTTTCCAACATATTTTCTTTTGTCACAAAGTATTTCATATAACACTTTTTTTTACTGAAGTTTCTTTTCTTTATATGCATTATATATAAGAACAAATCAACAGTATTGCCTCAGACAGAGCAGCAATCGTTTTAAAAAGCAGGAGTTATCTGAGGAGATCAGAAACATCTCAACATTATGTCTTATGGCTTATCTAGATCTGTTCCAGTCGGGCTTCAGGCCTGGGTACAGCACGGAGACGGCATTGGTCGCATTGGTCAATGATCTCTGGAGGGCTCGGGACAGGGTTGTTCCTCTGTCCTGGTCCTATTAGACCTCTCAGCGGCTTTTGATACCATCAATCATGGTATCATGCTGCACCGGTTGGAAGAGTTAGGGGTGGGGGGCACCGTGTTGTGGTGGTTCTCCTCCTTTCTCTCTGACCGGTCGCAGTCTGTGTTGACAGGGGGGCAGAGGTCGACCCCAAGGCCCCTTGTATGTGGGGTGCCACAGAGGTCGGTCCTCTCGCCCCTTCTGTTCAACATTTATGTAAAGCTGCTGGGTGAGATCATCCGTGGTTTTGGGGTGAAGTACCATCAGTACGCTGATGATACTCAGCTTTACATCTCCACCCCAGATCACCCCAATGATGCCCTTGAAGTGATGTCCCGGTACCTGGAGGTTGTACGGATCTGGATGGGGAGAAATAGACTCAGGCAGATATTTTAAATGGTTTTTAACGTTTGTATTATGTATATTTTACTTTCTGGCTGTTCACCGCCCTGGGTCCTTCGAGAGTAGGGCGGTATATAAATTTAATTATAAAATAAAAAATAATTATAAAATGTCTGAAGTAGAGATCTTCTTCCAGGTTTTTCTTTTAAGAAGGACCTTTATAGTTCTTACATAAAACTATACAATCAAAACACCCTATCTAAAATGACATTTCCAATCTATTTTGAAAGAGTCATCGCTTTGGAAATTTGAGAAGCCTATTGTGGATACTACTAACTCACAAATAGGATGCTATGTGGGGAAATTGATAATTCCCCAAAACCTCTAAATTAATTATTCCACAATTCTCCAAATTTATCTTTGGCACAGCAAACAAAGGAGTTGAGAGCAAGAACAGGCTATCCGAAGGCTCTAGTGATTGAGACAATCACTGGTAGCCTGTGTACTTCATGGAACAATTGTGGGATATTGCATTCTGGACCAGCTATAGCTTCTAAGTGATTCTTTATTGGTAGAGAGTATTGTAACAGTCCATTTGTCAGATAAGTAGGGTGTAAGTGATTTTCTGGAGGACTTCCTGGTCTGGAACAGAGACAACAGACATTCAAGATGAATATGTACAAAGGCCTTCTTGGCTACAGTTGCCACTTGGTCTTTGAAGAGGACTGAATCCAAGAAACACCTCCCCCTCCCCCAATTGCTCACCAGTCTCTAATAATAGGGAAACATTGTACAGGATTAAAGATGAAAAAATCCCAGAGTCAGGAGGCCCAAATACCCATAATCATTATGTATCATTCCAACATAAAATGCTTTCATTCTGTTTTATAACATCATTTATTCTGGTTGAAAGATTTGTAATTCTGCTTGCCATATTTGAAAGTGATATAATAGAACTGGAAAATGAAGAAGAACTCAAACTAAATGGTTAGAAAGCATGATAAGAAAAATATCTTTGGGATTCTAACTTGGAAAAAATGATGATGAAATAGGCTTCACTGCAAACATGCATGTCAATGAAGTAAGTTAATTGGGTGAGACTGCCCCTCTTTCAAAACACTAGATTGTAGTTTATCCAATTAAGTAGAATAGAAGAACATACATATCATTTGTAATTAACCTGTGGAAGTAATCTACTACTGGCTACCAAGATATAATACTTGCAGTGCTGAGCTTAATATTTAACCATGCATAGGATTTTAACAATGGCCCATAAAGTATTATTAAACATGGTTTTTATTCCAGCCAGATGGTTATCTTCTCCACTATAAGAATAAAAAATCCAGGATTCAATAATATGTATTGAATACATATATGGAACATTTCAATGAATTTATTTTGTATGTATGGCTAAAGGTATCATGATGAACATTGTATTACTGTATATAGACCCTTGTAGAAAATCTATTCTGGAGTCATTTACTCCACAGTCATTAGGAACTATGATCTACCAAAGAACAATTATTTTTCATTAGGTGCTTATTCATTGAACTGAAGTCAGTTATTAAATTTTAAAACAGCAATCATTAGTATGATAATGACCAAGTTAGGGATTTACCTATGCTTCATGGAAAGTACACTATTGGTGATAAGCATCATTATATTCTATTTATTATAGCTTTCTTCAATAGCAATATGCATATCCAGAAAGGAATATATACTTAGTAGAAAAAGTATAATAATACATTTAGCTCACTGGTTCTTTTCATAATCCAGGAAGAATACTTGTACAATTAGGACAGTTGGAAGCCTATATTGGAAGTCCCTGGACAACAATAGGAATAGCACAGAACTTGGCTACATTTCCAGAGGCCTCAGCATGGACATCCTCTCAAAGGAATAGTACCTTCTCCTCATCTGATCATCAAAGCAATTTAACAACATGAGAATTTATTATGCTTGAGAGCCAACCAAATAAAAAGAACAGCACACTAAATGCACATGACAGACTCAATGTCTCCCAACTGGTGGGTATATGTGCAGTCTTAAAGTGGTGTGATTGCCTATGAAAGTGCTTATTTTTAAATTACAGCACTCTTCATGAATATGTTTTTTGGAGGCATATTTTTACACCCATCAGAATTCCACAGCCTGTTTATAACAACTGTACTTCTACCTTAGCTTGAGGGAAAAAGTTGAAGAGAAAAGGGAATATTTAGTCAGAACACAGGAAATGCTCTCTTTCATGAACAAGCAATAACTTTCTGGTTAATAAATAACCCCTTTAGCCTGATCGCCTATCAAACTTCAGGTAGCTCAACATGAAATAATTTTCTCTGTGTCAGTTGCAAAAAAAGAATAATATAGCACCTTTGGTTATAAGGTTATCAGAAGAAGAGAAAAAAAAATAAGCCAATGATTTTGTTGTGTGTCAATCAGTTATGCCCTTTTAACACTTCACTTAAGATCACAGAGAAGAGGGAAAGAAGCAAGCAAGAAATACTTTGAGTATTTAAGAAAAAAAAAACTTGGATGAAATAAGGAAGATTATAAAGGCCAAAGTGGTCTCAGTGGTGGTAGGAGCACTCAAGACTGTGATTCCTAAACTGGGAGAGTGGCTCTAACAGATCTTAGTAACATCATCAGAATTCTTGGTCCAGAAGAATGCAGTGTTAGGAACAGCTGATACTGTGAAGAACCCTCAAATTCCCAGGTCTCTGGTAGAGGACCCAAGATGAGGAAGACACAGACCATTCATTGTGGTGAGAAGAGAATTTATTAGATCTAGATCTAGATCTATATACATTATATCTTGGTTTTGTGAGAATAATAAAAGTATTTTGTTACTTTAACTCAACAAATTCCCAGGTCTCTGGTAGAGGACCCAAGATGAGGAAGACACAGACCATTCATTGTGGTGAGAAGAGAATTTATTAAATCTAGATCTAGATCTATATACATTATATCTTGGTTTTGTGAGAATAATAAAAGTATTTTGTTACTTTAACTCAACAAACAAGCAAAGGTAAACCACTTTATTCACATGGTACTTATAATGCATACATATTAGTCCACCAGAATGAGCTAGTTATCAGCAAGGTGGAGTTAATGGCATGTAGTGAAAATTTAATTGGTCCTTCTAAATTGAAGTCTAACACTAATTCCTGGGACTGCCCTAGAAGATGGCTCTGAAGCTGAAGTTAGCACAGAAGGCCAGCTGATATAAAATAAGACCCATTTTTAAGGAGCTCTTCTTTCAATTGCCAATAAATTTTCTGACTCAATTCAAGATGCTGGTGATCTTATGAGCTAGTTTCTCCAGGCAGAACCTGCCCACCTTACATGGATTATTAGTGAGGGAATACTCTGGATTCTACTCTGAGAGATATACAGAGGGTTAAAATCTAAAGAATGACCTTCCCAGTGAAAGCACCTTTCTGTGGGACAAACTCACTGGAGCCAATTGTATCTGCAGTTTACAAAAATGATGAATATGGAGGACATTAATATATGTTTCTTTCATGATCAATCACTTTCTAGACCAATTACATGTCATGGACTTCTGTCATGGCAATCATTAAATATTATGTCCAGAGGGTCCTTCCCACCAATTGACTATGAAACTATTAGTGAAAGAACAGCTGGACAATATTATTTATTTATGTAGATGCTTATGTAAGAATTTTAATTTGTTGGTCCCAATTTTTCCTGCATTTGTTTCAGTGGATAACCTTAAGTTCCAACTGTAAGTAAGAAATAAAAACTTATTTTCTGTCTCCATTTTATATAGGCTGAGGATGAGGATGATCCTATCCATTTAATTGGGTCTGATTCTCAACAATTCTCTAGACCAGCTTATCATGTTTTCCAGTTTTATATAGCTTCTTTCACTTGTCTTATATTCTGCCTTGTGTCAGCTTTGATGGTGACTAGCTTTTTGGTGGCCTTATTTCCTTTTACTGCTGATCATTCTGAGCATAACTGCCTTTTACAGTGAGTTTGATTACATGACATAGCCAAAATAAGTAAGGAAGAATGTTTTGATTTTGCCTTACAGCAATATATCTGGTTTTGGTTTTATATGCTCCAGTGCTTGCTTGCTTGTCACCTTTGCTGTCCAAGGAATGCACAGAAGCCTTCTCCAATACCACCGTGTGAACGAATCAACTTTTTTTCTGTCTAGTTTGTTCGTGTTCGTGCAATTGTAGGTTTTATGAGAAACATAATGCAGACTAATCTATATTTAGTTACCAGGCTGATATCCTTGCTTTTCCATAGTTGATTCATGCTCATCATTGTGGTGTGACCCTGTGTGATTCGACAATTTATTTCTAGACCACATTCACTGCTTTGATCAATCTGCAATCCTAGGAAAATGAAATCTTGCATGCATTTGATTTCTGCACCATCAATTGTTAGTTTGACATTTCCATTTCATTTCTCATGAGCTTGGTCTTTTTGATGTTCAGGAAAGAGTCACATTTCTCATTTTGTTCTTTAATACTTTTGATCAGATGTTTCACACCTATATTTGGTTTCTGAGAAGAGAGTTATGTTGTCAGCATATTGAAGATAGTTGCAATCTTTCCTTCAATTTTTAATTATTCAAGTTTCAGTTTCATCATGATCACTTTAGCATCCAGATTGAATACGAAAGGCTGCACTCCTTCCCCTATGTTGAACCAATCAGTGTCATCAAATGGTGTTTGCACAGTGGCTTCCTAATTTTTGTACAGAGCATCAGCTTGACAAAAATGTGCTGGCATCCCCAAGACCTCTAAGGTGCTCCACAGCTTGTCATGATCAACACAAGTGAAGGCAACCTGCAGATTCAATAAGGGTGGAGAAGTACTACTGTTTCACCACCCTTAGTGTCACAAAATAATCCTTAATAGTGGCTTGAACCTATGTCCAGTCATCCGTAGTTCATCCTTAGTTGAGTACCAATGGTGCTGTAGATATTTCCTTTTCAATTTCATCTCCCTCAGAAACTCCATAAACCATTGGTGGATCAATTCAGAGCATTGGAGGCAGTGGTGAAATTCAATTTTTTAATCTATTAGTTCTGTGGGCATGGCTTGGTGGATGTGGTGTGCCTTGGTAGACCTGGCTTGGTGGACATGGCAGGGGAAGGATATTTCAAAATCCCCATTCCCACCCCACTCCTGGGGGAAGGATATTGCAAAATCTCCATTCCCATCTCACTCTGGGGCAAGCCAGAGGTGGTTTTTTCCAGTTCTCTGAATTACTCAAAATTTCCACTACTGGTTCTCCAGAACCTATCAGAATTTGCTGAATTTCACCCCTGACTGGAGGTATGCAACATGTTGTGATGGTTCACCTCTTTTCTCCAGGGTCAATTCCAGTTATTGTTAATCAAGGAAGAGCAATATCACCCTTAAGCACCTCCTTCAGGGGTTAATCCTATTCTCTATCCTATTCAACATTTACATGTATAATGGAACATGTGGATGGGGGGGAGGGGGAGATGCTGCCTAGGAAACAATCAGACAAGAAAGGATGGAACCCAGAGTCACTTAACTATCAGGAAAAAGAAATGGTCAGAGAAAGAAACTTAGCAAAACTTGTTCTAATAGATCAAGTAGTTAAAAGTGGAGCTGGGAAATTTATGCCTTCAGACTTTCAAGATTCTGTTAATCTACAATAAAGTAAAAAATAGTTCATCGTGTCATGTTTTCTCTCTGGTTTACCTGACAACATGAGATTTTTGGGTGAGCTCATCTGTTTCCATAGATGAGAATTCATCAGTATGCTGATAATACCCATTTGTACATATCTGCTCCTAGTAAATTGAACAATGTTGTGAATATTCTATCTCAAATCTTGGAGGCTATAAGGATATGGATGGGGAACAAGAGGCTTCAAAAAAACCCTATTAAAGCTAAGTGGCTTTGGGATTTGGGCCTTTCAGTCCTACGACTATACCTTCTTTAGTGCTAGATGGAGTCGTGCTATCCCCAACAGACCCTGCCAGGGCATCCTCATGGACTCATGACTCCTGCTCAAGGAGCAGGAACAATCAGGATGAAGAGAATCTTTGCACAACTTCATATTGTGCACCAATTTCACCCATTCCTAAATCAAGGGGTCATTTATACCCTGGTAATATCCTAATTGAACTATTGAAATGGGTCTCTATGTGGAGCTGCCCCTGAAGTGTAATACAGAAAATTCAGTTGGTGCAAAATGGAGTAGCACAAACTGTTATGTGTGTTTCTCTTGAGCACATGTAACATCTTTACTGCACTAGCTGCTTTGGTACTAGTTTGTTTCTGAATCCAGTTCAAAGTGCTGATGTTGACTTTTAAAGCCCTTCATGGTATGGCACTGGGTTCTTTGATGGACCATCTCTTCTTGATTTCATCTGTCCATCCATCAAATGTCCTAGGATGGGTATGTTACAGGTTCCAACACAGAGGGAGCTGCATTTTATGGGTGTCTTGTGCTATAGTGCCTGCATTGTGGAATCCCCCTTCAGGTGAGGTCAGCCTTGTCATTCTTTCAAAAGTCCCTCAAGACCAGATCATGCCAGTAAGCCTAGCAAGTCCAGGGGATAAGTGAACTTGGGAGGTGGTTAATATTAACATCCCTCCATCTGTTGTATCTTATGATTCTTGATGAATGTATTTTTTTTCTTTTATGTACACTGAGAGCATATGCAAATTCTGAGAGCCAAAGACAAATTCCTTGTGTGTCCAATCACACTTGGACAATAAAGAATTCTATTCTTTGTTCTGTTCTGTTCTGTTCTGTTCTGTTCTATTTCTCCTCTTTTAAAAATTATTGCATAAAGGTTTTAAGTAATCATTGTTTTATATATTTACTGTTTTATTGGATTGTTGTATGCTGCTCAGAATCACTTTCTATCAGATAGGTGGTCACATAAATTTGACAAATAGATAAACAAATAATGTGATAATGACAACTGTACTCATCTGTGTACTGTCACTTAGAATTTG